GTGTAGGTGATGGGGAGGAAGGCAGCAAATCACACTGCCACGTGTGTACTTATGCAACAATCTTGCATGTTCTTCACATGTACCCCAAAACCTAAAATGCAATAAAATAAATGGAAAAAAAAAACAAACAAATTTAGCTACTGATCCCAAGAGTCTCACATAGCAAATTATAGTGGTACTTTGGAAGAAAATGCCTATTTTTTCCATTATCATTCATGATTCAATTTGCTCAGTGAACATTTAAACACCTCTAGTGCAAAACACCTTGTTAGGCACTGATTAGAAATACAATAGTGAATAGCATGAATTCCCTTCCCACAAGGAACTATAATCTAATGGTAGAGTTAGATGTTAAGCAAATAATCACATAAACACATAATAATGATATAATCTGTTAACTAGAGTGAAATAAGACTACACCGCATTTTAAAGTGTTTAAATATAGAAAATCTTGATTAAGGAAATAAAATTTATATGGATATGAGAGACCAGACACATTGAGATGTGATGGCTCGTTAAATTAGAAACTTAGGCTAGGAATACTTTCTACTTAGAGTGTCCTGGCCACTAAGTCATAGCAACTACAAATAGAAGTGTTCAGTAAATATCAATAGACATTGGCCAGGCATGGTGGCTCACACTTGTAATCCCAGCACTTTAGGAGGCTGAGGCAGGCAGATCACCTGAGGTCAGGAGTTCAAGACCAGCCTGGCCAACATGGTAAAACCTTGTCTCTACTAAAAATACAAAAATTAGCTGGGCGTGGTGGCGCATGCCTATAATTCCAGCTACTTGGGAGGCTGAGGCAAAAGAATTGCTTGAACTTGGGAGGTGAAGGTTGCAGTGAGCCAAGACCATACCACTGAATTCCAGACAGGGCAAAAGAGCAAAACTCTGTCTCAAAAAAAAAAAAGAAGTTGACACCAAAAAAATACGTTGGAGCCATATCATTTTTAGATCAAATGAGTCTAGCTGTGGTGCCAGCAATGAGAACCCCATTTTTCTCCAGAACACAAACACTTTTTTAAAACACTTAAAAAGTTTCATTTAAATTTAAGAATTATATTACTTATATAACATTTTAACTCGGTACTTTTTGCTTTGCAAGGAAATTCACACACACAAAACCCATTATTTTCGTGCCCAATAACATGCCTATGTGACATATGTATGTTTAATGATATTTCCATTTCATTATGATTAAGATTACAAATCTAATAGTATTTTAAGGAGCTGAGTTGAGAAGCATTTAAGGAATATAATTTGAGAAGGTATGGTCTTTCTCAATCAGAAGGAAAAAAAAGAAAACTTACCACAGCTAAATTATTTCCAATGCATTTCAGAAACAAAAATTTTTCTGCAATAGCATCTTCACCCAGGAACTCACCAAGATGCTCCCTCAGGGCTTGTAAAGTAAGTTGAGGAGATACTCTGAAATATTATGATATTCATCTTACAATGTCAAATGAAATAGATTTTGGATATACTAATGATTCAGTAACTTTAGTCAGCTATCTCAAACACAAATGTTGATTTAATGTGTCAGATATAGTTTAACATATCATGTTTCTACATTGCTGGCATTTTGTAGGTCTTCTGTAAATATCTCTTAAAATAATTAAAAGTCTGCCTTTAAAATTATGCAAATAAACACTGTTTATAAATGTTTTGTACTGAAAAGGAAAATAACTGTCTCTTTGCTAATCTACTTCCAATTTTTTTTTTTTTTTTTTGTGACAGCCTCACTCTGTTGCCCAGGCTGGAGTGCAGTGGCGTGATCTCAGCTCACTGTAACCTCTGCCTCCTGGGTTCAAGTGATTCTCATGCCTCAGCCTCCTGAGTAGCTGGGACTGCCAGTGCTCACTGCCACACCTGGCTAATTTTTGTATTTTTAGTAGAGATGGGGTTTCACCAGATTGGCCAGGCTGGTCTCAAACTCTTGACCTTGTCGTCCACCCACCTCAGCCTCCCAAAGTGTTAGAATTACAGGCATGAGCCACTGCGCCCGGCTTCCAAATTTTATTGTGAAAATTTGCTGTGGAATTTATTTACTTTTATACATATATCAAGAAATGATATAGCCACAGATATTTATTAGATAGTGCTTAAATAATGTTAAAATAATCTCACATCTAACATTGTCAGAGTCCTTATCTTTGCTTATTAGGAACACTTTGCTCCTGAATGTCTAAAATTTAAAGCCATCACTTATGCTATCATTCCAAGTTCTTATTTTTCTAGGACCTTATGAGAAATATTAGATAATTCATTCAATCAACACATATTTATTGAGCACCTACTCTGTGTCAGACATTGTTCCAAGGTATGGGAATATGGCAGTCAACAAAACAAAAATCTCTGCCCTCATGGACTTTACAACCTCGTGATGGAATAGGAAAATTAATGAATAAGTAAAAAAAAAAAAAAAAAAAATTGTAATTCATAAGACACTGCTAAGTACCACAGAGAAAAATAAGGCAGAGAATAAAGAAAGGGATTGTAGCAATGATTTAAAATGCAGTGATTAGAGAATATCCACAGAAAAAGGTAATAGGTGAGTAAAAACCTCAAAGAGATGGGAGGGCATATGGTTAGGGCAGAAAACTCATTCTAGACAAAAGGAACAGAAAGTACAACGGTCCTGAGATAGGGCAATGTGTTCCAGAACAGAAAGGAGGCTGATGTGGTTGAAGAAAGTGATGATGAAGATTAGGAAGAGGGGTGTGCTCGAGAGATAACAGACAGTCAGATCACATAGTGTTACGTGTCTTTTTGTGAATGTGAAAATACACATCTAAATACATATAAACATATTCTTTGTTTATAAACAGTTCAGACAAAGAGACATTGTAGATATATTGCTCTAACTACTGTTTTCAGATCTTCAGCAGCTTTCTCTTTCCCTTTTCTTTTTCTTTTTTTTTGGGGGGGAGTGTGGGGGGCAGAGTCTTACTCAGTTTCCCAGACCAGAGTGCAGTGGTGCAATCATGGCTTACTGCAGCTTTGACTTCTGGGGCTCAGAGCAGTCCTCCCACCACAGCCTTCTGAGTAGTTTAGCAGATTCTTAATTTCAGATAACTTCTCTCTTAATTCACATTGTGTATGATCATAATAACACACAGGTTATACACTGTTTTCTGGGTGGCAGAACTATGGCCAAGTAAGCTATTCCTACAGAACTGGTTTAATTGTTACATAGCACTACATATTGATAGTATTCATTAAGTTAGGAAATGGAACTACCAAATGGACAAAGTATTTTTCACTTACAGTTCTTCAATTTCCAGAAAGCATTTTTCTCTGCAGAAATAAAGACACTTCTTTCAGGCATATTGTTACATCACTATACAACACTTGCCTCAGAAATCCAGCTGAAATGAATCTGTTAACAACTTCTGTTGAAATGGTATTTAGCTTATAGTTCCATGATCCCTCAGGGACATAAAAAACATGAAGTTCCACCAACTGAATAAATTGAGAAGAACATCAGTTAAAATATTTTTAAAGTGAAAAAAAATCAACTATGTCACATATAATCATTTAATAAACACAATTGAAAAAAACACAGAATACATACATTCCTCTGAACAAACAAAAAACAAAATGAACTAAAAATCTGTTCTTAAGTTGGCCACTTGGCACTTGGAGTACATTTTCCCTTGGCAGCAATGGCTATGAGATGATCTCAATATTTTGGCATATGGTGTTCTTTTGTGGCCTGCAGTAAGAATCCTAGGGTACCACGACCAGTTTTCTTAACATCAACCTTTACTTCACCTCACTCCCTACCTGCTCCGTTCCCTCGGAGTGAACTTATGGAATCCTTAGCCTTTGTATATTTTCTCCCTATTACAGTTCTGAAGATTGCTAGCGCTCAGCACCTGCAAAATGCTTAATACCGTGGTTTGGGGAAAGTACTTATTAACCAGAATTCCAGGAAGAATTTATTCCTGACCAAATGAGAAAGGAATGACTGTTCTTACATTGGGCATGTCTGTAAGTATGTCTGTGCTTATATGTAACTATCCACTTTTCCATATGACCTTGAGTAGAATCCTTCTCTTTAGAATATTTATATTACCACAACAGAAACAGAATGATTGCAAATATAGTCTTATCTTTTAGTCAAATTAAGATTGATACTGCATATTAAAAGTCAAAACATTAAAATGAATATACTCTAATGCAATATTAAATATCTGAGAAATCTTTAAAAGTTTGAATATGACCTACTATTAATATCATTAATTTTATAGAAGATAAAAATAATCTTAAACATAAGGTTTTCTTCAAGTTGTTTTTATAACTCAAGGAAATTACTTCTATGCTTTTAATGATGAAATATTAACAATTTAAAATGTTTGTATAGATGTGATAGTGAAGTGTGCTATATGTTGCATTTTGAACACTAGAGCACTTAAAAGATTAATCTCTAGCTATACTATTAAACATTTGCAAAACCTTAAGAAATTTAAAGTAAATATGACCTTATCTTTATATAAATGTATTAATATTTTACAGGGGGAAACTATTTCTTCAACTAAACATTTATACACATGCTTCTTAAAAATACACTTTTAATGGTTTTATTTTTTCCAGAACAACAAAGCAGTTGAAAAAATGTGGAAAAAATTTTAAGTATATATTAAATCTGACATTATTTTAAGGTTAATATTCTATTTACACCCAAACCCTAATTTATTAAAATCTTACTTTCTTGGCTGTAATGGAAGCTACTTATCAATAATGTTTTCATTAAAATCATTAGCTATTTTAAAAATACATTACAAGGCATGGCACATACTTTTTCTTTTGCCATAGGCTTTAAAATGATTAGAGATGGCACTGTTGGATCCTGTCTCTAATTGAAATATTGACATCTTGTTCAACATGTATTTTTTTGCATTAATACTAAAAATTTTTTTGGTAGCCCCTTAAATTTTTCATCCATGGCAAGTACCTCATTTGCCTTGGACTAGTCCTGGCTCTGTGAGAGATACAGCCAATAGACAATAAATACTGACTTCTAAGAAGTAAAATTTTAAATTTTTTTTAATTAAAAAAATATAATACACTAATAGGTAATATAGCATATTACAAAGTGGTAATTACTAGGAAAAAAGAATAAGTAGGGCAGGGTAAAGAAGAATCAGAAGATATGGGATGGAGAAGTTTTCAGTTTTAAATAGTCAGGGTAGGTTTCACGGAAGAGGTGAGATCTGAGTAAAGACCTAAGGGAAATGAAGGAATTAGCCAAGTGAAGATCTAGAGGGAAAGAGTTCCAGAAAGAGATAAAATAAAGGTATTAAGGTGAGAGCATGTCAGTATGATTGCAGCAGAGAGTAAAGAGTAGAAGACGACAAGTTCAGAAATATAAAGAGGTAGAGGGGAAACACAGAGCACCTTCTGAGCCATTTTCACCTATCAAATGGGAAGCTAACGTATGGTTTTAAGAGAAACATGAAGATCTGACATATATTTTTATTTAATATAAAAAATTTTAAACATACATACCTATAAAAATAATTATCTCTCTCTGAATAAAACATTTAAAGTAAATCAGACATCATGACAATATATCCCTAAATACTTTGACATCCATATTCTAAAAATAAGGACCTCTGGTAACATAATCACAATTTCATTTTCACATCTAAAAAAAATTAAAATTACTTAATGTCAATTAATATCCAGTCCATATTTAAAATTTCCTAATTGTCCTCAAAATGTTTTCTTAATCTGGAATTCAAACAAGGATCACACAGTGCATTTGGTTGATTTTTTTTTTTTTTTGAGATGGAGTTTCGCTCTTGTTGCCCAGGCTGGAGTGCAGTGGCGCATTCTTGGCTCACTGCAACCTCCTCCTCCTGGGTTCAAGCGATTCTACAGTCTCAGCGTCCTAAGTAGCTGGGATTACAGGCCCGTGCCACCATGTCCAACTAATTTTTGTACTTTTGGTAGAGACAGGGTTTCACCATGTTGGCAACGTTGGTCTCGATCTCTTCACCTCATGATCCACCTGCCTTGGCCTCCCACTTTTAAAAACTTTCTTCTTGGAGTTCCCAAACCTTTTTTGCTTTTTTTTTTTTTTTTTTAAAACATGGTATTGACTTTTTAAGATAGAGCCAGTTGTCTCATAGAATGTTCTACATTATGAATGCACTTCATTACCTCTAGGGTGTCATTTAACTTGTTTCTCCAACCTCTCTTATCTCCTGTAAACAGTTAAATATACGGCCTTAAAGTGACACAGGTTACTACTTGGGGCAATAGTATTTTATAAATAGTGCCCTGTATTTTATATTGCATTATATCAGGATATACATAATGCTTTACATTTGAATCTTTCTAAATTTAATTAGTTGGGCAATGGGAATAATAGCTAAAAGAGACTATACGAAGCAAGAAAACTTGTTATAAAGTTACTGGAATAATTACAGTGTGAGATGATGGTGACTCATGTGCTAGCAGTAAAGTTGATTAAAAAGTAATCAGATTTTGTATATATTTGAAAACTAGAGACAATCCATTGGAAGTGGAGTTCAAGAGTCAAGTAGAAGAGTCAGAGTCAGTCTATTGGAAGTAGAGTTTGAGAGAAGAGTCAAGTAGAAGACTCAAGTATGCAAGAAAAATCAAGTATGACTCCAAGGCATTTGGCCTCAGATACTGAAAGGGTAGATTTGACATCACCTGAGATGGCAAAAAGTCATAGGTGGTACGAATTTTGGGGAAGGGGAAAAGATTCAGTTTCAGACATATTAAGATGAAATATCTATTGGCCATCCAAGTGGAGATGTCAGCCACTCAGCTGAATACATGCATATGTGAATCTGGAATTTGGGAAAGAGGACTGGGATGGGGCTATAAATTTGGAAATCCTTGGCATAAAGTTGGCATTTAAATAGATTAGACTAGATGAGATCATCAAAGAATAAGTAGAAAAGAGAACAAAGAGCTAAAATATTTCAAAATTAAGAGGTCAGGAAGAAGATGAATACCCAGTAAAGATGACTGAGAATGAATAACCAGGGAGGTAAGATGAAAACAAATATAATATGTATGCTAGAAGCCTAGTGAAGCCTATGTCAAGGAAGAGAACATGATTAATGGTGTCAACTGTTGTGAATACATAGGTCAAGAATGTTTAGGATAATAATTAACATATTTAGTAATGAAAAGGTGAATTTATCAAGAATAGTTTTGTTGGAATAATGGAGGTGAAACCTTGATTGCAGTTGGTTTAAGAGAAAACACAGAGAAGGTATTGGGGGTCTGAGATGGTGTGACATACTTGTTTAGAAGAGGGGAAGAGTGGGCCAGGCACGGTGGCTCATGCCTGTAATCCCAGCACTTTGAGAGGGTGAGGAAGGCAGATCACGAGATCAAGAGATTGAGACATTCCTAGCCAACATGGTGAAAGCCCATCTCTACTAAAAATACAAAAATTAGCTGGGTGTGGTGGCATGTGCCTATAGTCCCAGCTACTTGGGAGGCTGAGACAGGAGAATTGCTTGAACCCAGGAGGCAGAGGTTGCAGTGAGCCAAGGTCGGGCCATTGCACTCCAGTCTGGCAACAGAGTGAGACTCCATCTCAAGTAAACAAACAAAAAAAAAAAGGAAGAAGAGGGAAAGAGTGAATCAATGAGTGGCAGATAGTAAGACTGCCCACACAAAAAAGATTCCACTTGAAATTCATGGTCATGAATTTAAAGTGAGAATGGTACTTATGATGGTATAAATTTTTCTCTCTAGCCACGTTCGGCTGCTCAGTTGTAGGTATGGAATAGGTGGAGACATGCATTAACCATGTTTGTTGTATTACCAAGGAACACAATGAAGTGAGAGAGGGGCAAGAAGTCAAAAGTATATGCAAGGGAGTGATCATGATTGCTCTACGGAACTTAAGCTAGATATGGAGGGTACCACCTTCAATCATACAATTGAGAAATAGTAAAAAAGGTGATAGGATCAATGCATTGGGGGGTCCCAATATGGTTGGGGTATTAGAGGAAGTGAGCTAGAGGCATGAGAAGTGTAATCAGACAATGGGATACACGAAGTTGGGATCATGGTGGAGTCAATAACTAACACTTTATGTAATTCATGTTTTTGCTTTTATAAAACTTCAAAAATGATAAGCAAGTCTTTCTTATATTTTAGTATAAAAAGATTTTCTTACCTCTGATGAGGAAGGTCGACTTGGATTGAGCGACATATTCACTAATGTCTGAATGGGATAATTATCATTGGAATTTTTTTCTTTTTTTATCTTTCTTCATTTAAGTAGTATTAAATAAAAATTACAACTTTTTTTTTGGCTTAAGATAGCATTCCACTCATTTCTGGTCTCTGACTTGTTCAAGAAATAAAAAGGAAAACACAAAAGCATTAAACTAAAAATGAAAACTTAGGAATATATACAATCTTCATTATTCTAACTCAAAAGGACATAATACTAGTAAATATGACTGGTAATTGTAATGAAATGACCATAAATGTATAAAACTAAGTAAAGTAATAAATTACATTATAATGAACTTGTGACCAGGACATATTTTACTACTCTAAATCTTTTCTTGGTTGAAAATTATGTTTACATAAACAGCATTTTACATAAATTAGAAATACACGTTTGGAAGTAGAAAGAATTTATGATCCTTGGTTAGGATCAACTACAAATTCTAAGCATGCCTAAAGTTTTAATTAGCCTCTTGGCTAGTTAAAATGGCTGTAGAATGATGAAAACTGTTTAACCATATACATTTCTTCCTGGGTTTTGATGCCTCAATAATAAAAAACATGATTATTCCAGATGAAAATGCCAATCTTTAAATATGTCAGGCTTCATTTGTGTATTATTTCCTGTATTTTTCCTCAGAGGATTTATGGCAGTTTACCAGAATGTATGATACAATTAAAAATATATAAATGTATTTAAGAAAAATTGAAAAATAAGGTATCTGAATTATTACTCTAAAAGGAATTATCAAAGTAGGTTAATTCTTAAGGATATACTAATTGTACTGACACAAAAGCTGAAGCTTTCCTAGATTTCAAAACATTGCTCTTCCTTGGCTTATGTTAAAATAATGATTTAAATCTAACAAAACTTAAAATTCCTCTGATCTGGTATTGATTATAGCTCTACAAAACCGTAACAAGTACTACTAATTGTTTTAATAGTATCAAAATTAAAAGATTATTTCCTGAAATATACAATCTCCTTAGTTTTGCATATTACTTCCTATATTTCTTACAATAATTAAAATGTGATTATTCATTTTGACCATGTCAAACGCTATTTTAAGAGCACATTAGTACTTTAAGAAAGTATTTATAGATCTATCCCAAAACTCTGTATGCCATTGTATTAATATTAACCTCTATTGTGAACCTAGGGGAACCATGACTCACATACATATATAGTCACTTCATTATTAGGTAAGAATTAATCCATATTAATTATAGCATATGGACATTCATTGATTCATTGGTATGCAAATTCGTAGGCTAAAAGTTTTAATTTCTGTTACATATTAAAATTTGATACTTTAATTCAGAACAATTTTTTTTCTTTGAGACAGTCTCCCTGTGTCGCCCAGGCTGGAGTGCAGTGGCACAATCTCAGCTCACTGCAGCTTCTGCCTCCCAGGTTCAAGCAATTCTCCTGCCTCAGCCTCCCAAGTAGCTGAGATTACAGGCCTGTGCCACAACGCCCAGTTAATTTTTGTATTTTCCGTAGAGACAGGCTTTCACCATGTTGGCCAGGCTGGTCTTGAACTACTGACCTCAGGTGATCTGCCTGTCTTGGCCTCCCAAAGTGCTGGGATTACAGGAGTGTGCCACCCACTGTGCCAGGCCCAGAACAAATTTTTAACTATGCAAACTCAAGATAGATCAGTCAAGACCTGCTTTATTGTTGTCCTGTGGTAAACCTATACAGGACTCCACTATACAGGTTGAGAATCCCTAATTTTAAAATCTGAAATCTGAAATGCTCCAAAGTCTGAAACTTTTTGAATGCTGACATGGTGTTCCAAGGAAATGCTCATTGGTGCATTTTGGATTTTGGTTTAGGGTTGTCCAACCGGTAAGTATATAATGCAAATATCCCAAAATTTTAAACAATCTGAAATCCTCAACATTTCTGACCCCAAGCATTCTGGATAAGAGATACCTATAGTATCCTTTCTAAAGTAATGGCAAAGAAGCCATGTTTGGGATTTTAAAAACTCCCTTTAGCATTTCTGATGGGAACAATGCTGGAGTCCAAATCCTGGGCTGAGCAGAAACAAAATGTTCTGACATGAAAAGATGATCCCTTGGGAATTGGACCTGGGAAAGAGCTCAAGATTCAAGCATTATAGACATTATTAGTAAGAATATAAAAAAGAGAAGTCATGGGGTAGTATCATAGCCATGAGGCAAGCCTGTATTATGGGAAAGCTATACATATTTATAGAGAGATAGAAAAAGATAAAGAATAGAGAAAATGACTAAGTAAGCTGGTAGTGAGAAGCAAATAGAGGAAGTAACATAGCTGATTCATGTTTATAACTAAGCACCAGCACTTAATAAATGCTGACATGGGCTATGTTTAAATATACCAATAAAGTAGAATCTCACACAAGATAATCAGATTGATTGGGAGCCAGAAAAGCAGGTTTCTAGACCCTTATGACCTGTAAAACCATTCATTGGTCTGAGTGTCAGTTTCTTAGTGGTAAGTGACTCGAACTCTTCAAGAACCTTTGCAGCTTTAAAATTTTTTGATTACTCAAGGAATGCAAGAAGTGACAGGGAAACTTACATTCTGGAATTAAAAAATCAGAATACAGTCAACTTCACGCCTGATGATGGGAGAATTTTTTGGCACAATTCCTGATTCTTAAATCACCAAGGCATGAAATCTATCTGATCAGGATAAATTCAGATTACATATATGTCCTGGGAGTTCTGCTTTGATTCCTGGTTAAGCTGTAAATAAAATTCTAATCCATTCATTTTTTTTTTTTTTTTGAGATGGAGTTTTGCTCTTGTTGCCCAGGCTGGAGTGCAGTGGCTCGATCTCGGCTCACCGCAATCTCTGCCTCCCAGGTTCAAGTGATTCTCCTGCCTCAGCCTCCCGAGTAACTGGGATTACAAGCACCCGCTACCACGCCCAGCTAATTTTGTATTTTTAGTAGAGATGGGGTTTCTCCATGCTGGTCAGGTTGGTCTCATATTGAACTCACCACCTCAGGCGATCCACCTGCCTCAGCCTCCCAAAGTGCTGTGATTACAGGCATGAGCCACCAGGGCCACAAATTCTAATCCAAATTCTAATCTGTCTCAGGTAAATAGATTAAAATGCCTGAAATGCCTGAGGGCACTCCAAAATCTATAAGCATTTATAGTAGTCATACTTGTAGGACCAGTTGAGGAATGAGGTTTGTTTTCTATACAGGTCCTAATGTAGACAAAATGGCATACTTGTCTTGATTTTAAATATTTTCAGGATATATTAAGACATTTTAGGGTGGGAGAGGGTCTCCCAGAGAGTAACAGAATGATATAGGATTAGAATCTATGTTGGAAAATGAATTAGAGTTAGGTTTCTTTTACTTTGTGATTTTTGTGGGCATGTAGTAGGTATATATATTTATGGGTACATGAAATATTTTGATACAGGCATACAATGTGTGAAAATCACATCACGGTAAACAGGGTATCCATGACCTCAAGCATTTATCCTTTCATGTTACAAAAAATCCAATTACGCTCTTATTTTTAAATATATAAATTATTAACTATAGTCACAATAATTGCACTATCCAACACTATTTTATTCATTTTATCTAACTTATATTTTTGTACCCATTAACCATCCCCAGTCCCCACCCACTACCCTTCCCAGCCTCTGGTAACCATCATTCTACTATCTCCATGAGTTCAAATGTTTTAATTTTTACTGCCAAATAAGTGAAAACATATGAAGTTTATGTTTCTGTGCCTGGCTTTTTAACCTAACACAAATGACCTCCAGTTCCACCCATGTTGTTGCAAATGAGATGATCTCATTCTTTTTTATGGCAGAATAGTATTCTATTGTGTATTTGTGCCACATGTTATTTACTCATTCATCTGTTGTGGACACGTAGGCTGCTTTTACATCTTGGCTATTGTGAATAGCGCTGCAGTAAACAAGGGAGTGCACATACCTCGATATACTGGTTTCTTTTCTTTTGGATCTCTATCAAGTAGTGGGATTCTTGGGACATACTGAAGCTCTATTTTTAGTTTTTTTGAGGAACCTGCAAGCTGGTCCCCATCATGGAGACCAGCTAATTTACATTCTCACCAACAGTGTACAAGGGTTCCCTTTTCTCCACACCCTCACCAGCATTTGTTATTGCCTATATTTTGCATAAAGGCCAATTTAATTGGGGTGAGATGATATCTTATTGTAGCTCTGATTTGCATTTCTCCTGATCAGTGATGTTGAACACCTTTTCATATACCTGTTTACCATTCATGTCTTCTTTTGAAAAACATTTATTCAGCTCTTTTGCCCATTTTTAAGATGGATTATTATATTTTTTCCTATATAGTTGTTTGAGCTCCTTATATATTCTGGTTATCAGATGGATAGTTTGCAAATATTTTTTTCCCATTCTGTGAGTTGTCTCTTCTCTTTGCTGATTGTCTCCTTTGTAGTGCAGAAGTTTTTCTTCTTTGTTTTTATTTTATTTTATTTTTATTTTTGAGACAGGGCTTCTCTGTTGCCCAGGCTGGAGTGCAGTGGCATGATCATGGTTCACAGTCTTGATCTCTGAGGGCTCCCAAGTAGCTGGGACCACAGGTACGTGCCACCATATCTAATTTTCGTAGTTTTGGCGAGATGGGGTTTCGCCATGCTCCCCAGGCTGTTATTAAACTACTGGGCTCAAGCAATCCACCTGCTTCAGCCTCCCAAAGTGCCTAGATTACAAGCATAAGCCACCGTGCCTGGCTCTGTACAGGTTTTTAACTTGAGGTAATCCCATTTGTCCATTTTTGCTGTTGTTGCCTGTGCTTGTGGGGTATTATTTAAAAAAAATCTTTGTCCAATCCAATTTCCTGGAAAGTTACTCCAATGTTTTCCTTTTTTTTTTTTTTGTGAGAGATGGAGTCTCACTCTCGGCTTACAGCAATCTCTGCCTCCTGGATTCAAGTGATTCTCCTGCCTCAGCTTCCCAAGTAGCTGGGACTACAGGTGTGTGCCACCACACCAAGCTACTTTTTGTTTTCAGTCGAGATGAAGTTTCACTATATGTTGGGCAGGCTGGCCTAAAACTCCTGACCTCAGGTAATCCACCCACCTCAACCTCTAAAAGTGCTGGGATTACAGGTATGAGCCACCATACCCTGCCTCCAATGTTTTCTTATAGTAGTTTCATAGTTTTACGTCCTAGATTTAAGTTTTAACCCATTTTGATTTGATTTTGGTACATGAGGAGAGAGGTCTAGTTTCATTCTTCTGATATGGATATTCAGTTTTCCAAGCACTATTTATTGATGGGACTTTCCTTTCTCCAATGTATGTTCTTGGCACCTTTGTATAAAACAAGCTCACCTGAGATGAATGGATTTGTTTCTGGGTTCTCTATTCTATTCCACTGGTCTATGTGTCTGTTTTTATGCCAGTACTTTAAGCTGTTTTGGTTACTATAGCTCTGTAGTATAATTTGAGTTCAGGTAACATGATTCCTCCATTTTTATTCTTTTTGCTCAGGATAACTTTGGTGACTCTGGGTCTTTTATGGTTCTGCATAAGTTTTAGGATTGTTTTTAATACTTCTGTGAAGAATGTCATTGGTATTTTGATAGAGATTGCATTGAATCTGTAGATTGCTTTGGGTAGTTTAGATATTTTAACAATATTGATTCTTCCAATACATAAACATGGAATATCTTTCCATTTTTGAGGGGTTCTCTTCAATTTCTTGTATCAGTGTTTTCATAGTTTTCATTGTAGAGATTTTTAACTTCCTTGGTTAATTCCTAGGTATTTTATTTGTAACTACTGTATATATTATTTTCCTCCAAACTTCAATTTCCTTAACCACTATAAAAACAGAATAAGCTCATTCTTTGAGAAAGAAGTCAGAATTGTGAAATCCCCCTTTGAAGAAATTTAGCCTTTAAACTACGAAGTAAGGCATGTGAATCTTATTTTATTTATTCAAATTCTGAATTTTGACCTAGTAAACTAAAGAACTTGGGGTACTAATTAGTTGAATAAGGTGAAGATCTAAGGTAAATTTAAATTAAATTGATAAAGTAAATTTAAATTTAAATTGATAAACATAAAATGACAGATTACTTGGTTGTTTTTTCTTGCCATTTATTGCTAAAAGGATCCCCTTGGTGACAAATTCTTTTTATAACAGGCCAGTCTTCAACCAACTGAATGGTGAGCATCTATGTCTGTACAGTTGGTAACATGATTGAAATTTTTAGAGCATTGTGGAAGGTCAAAGAACATCTCCTAAACAAAAGTTTACAAGACACAGTTCATAAACGGTATTTACAGCTAATCACTTCAGATTTAATTGAACTTAAAGTTTACTAAATTTTTTTTTTTTTGAGACAGAGTCTTGCTCTGTCACCCAGGCTGGAGTGCAGTGGGGCGATCTTGGCTCGCTGCAACCTCCGCTTCCCTGGTTTAAGTGATTTTCCTGCCTCAGCCTCTTGAGTAGCTGGGATTAAAGGCACGGGCTACCATACCCAGCTAATTTTTATATTTTTTAGTAGAGATGGGGTTTTACCATGTTGGCCAGGATGGTCTTGATCTCTTGACCTCATGATTTGCCCACCTCAGCCTTCCAAAGTGCTGGGATTACAGGCGTGAGCCACCGCGTCTGTCCTCAATGGTTTTTTTGTCTTCTTCTTTGCTATCCTACATAGAATCTTTAAAGACATGCTACAAAAAAAATACCATCTGGTGTTTGAGACAGCAGTCCAGTCTGTGGTTTCTCAATGCAGAGGTTAATAAAAAAAAGCAATGAAAACTTTTTCTGAAATTGTTTTGGCCTAAGACACTGCTTATTCCTCAACAGCTTCCCTCACAGAAGAAATTATTGGACCATATATTCCCTAAAATCTCTTCCAGCATTAACATTCCACAGTTCTTAACAGTTCAGTGATATATTCTAAAACTACTGTAAAATAAATCATTCTTTGAATAAAGATACTTGTGTTTAATCTTACAAATCTGTAAAGTATGAATGACGTTTTAGCATTATACAGTCAACAAAGCACCAAAGGTGAAATAATTAAAATACCGTTTGGGAAAAAACAGTATTTATTGAGATATCCTTCATATTCTTTATATATATAAAATATCATTTCATTCTGAAAAACAACTCCACGAAGTAAGCTTTATTGTTTCTTTGGAAATAAAGCCTCAGTAGTTTAAGTGGCTTGCCCAAGAATACCATGATAAGTAGCAGAGCCAGAATTCAAACCCTGGTTTTAACCCCAATCAGTACGTCTGTACGAATTAAGTAAAATGCTAAACTTACACTGTACATTTTTGTGAACTGATATAAACTGTTGAGTAAATTAGGTTTTGTTGACCAGAGCAATTACACAAGCTTTTCTAATAAAAAATTTGAAATGTATTAATGATGAAATTATTAACATTAATAGAAAACAGCGCATTCATTCCGAGCCTGACTACCACAAAAGAAATAGGAAACACCTGACTTTAATAGAAAACATCAGCGCATTCATTCGGAGACTACCCCAAAATAAATAGAAAACATCTGCCCTTAATACTGTGACATAACACACACATTTCCATGGATGAAAGAATGACGCACTGGCTGAGCCTATTTTGTTTGGTTAGATCCTACCATCTCTCCTAAAAACTTCTTTGGGACTCAATTTCAAGCAGGAGGTAATAAATTACAACGAAAATACTAAAGAGCAAACTTTACGGAAACAAAAATAAGTTGTATACAGTAAGCGTTAATTCTCCAGATTAAATGGGTAACAGAGTAGACAGGTGTAATCTTCAGCCAGCACTTTGGCTTCTTCGATCTTTCAGAAAACCGATTCAAAAGCTAAGAGACCAGTAAAGTCAAACATCGAGAAGATCTTTTCTCCAGCGAATCAGCGCCCCTGCATCCCGCCCGTCCACCTCCGCTGGGTCGGCTACAGCGGTCTCCTCCGGTCTACCGGGCTGCGCGGGGTGGGGGTGGGGGTGGGGGGGGCACTGAGCATGCCCATTTGCCAAACTCGGGTCACAGAGAGGGTCTCTGGTCTCTAAACTTTCTTAACTAGAAAAATGTCAGGGACCTAGCTTACTCAGTTGTGGTCATCTCAGAGAGACATGCCTGTACGGGACAGGGTGTGTGGGTGACTCACGCCGCTCAGAGGACCTCTGCCCTCCCTTCCCTCAACCCCTCCCGCAAACTCCGGGAGAAAAACTGAGACCTCCTGGTCACCCGCCGCCGGGCCTTTTAGAAACTCCCACAAGCTCTGACTTCCCTCACTGGTCCTCTTCAGACCCCCTCTTAAGTGTTAGCGGCCAACAATAAGCTCTCTCCTTACCTCTCCCAAAGCGGCCCCTCTGGAGCGGAAAGTAGAACTTAGGCGGGTCGTGCTCGCCTCCAGCAGCCACCTCGCCCACGGACTGCTCCGCCCCTTCTCGTCCTCCTACTCCACGCTCGTGCTCAGGGCCGAGTGAGAAGCTGGAAAAGAAGGCAGGCAAGGTGCGCATGCGCACCGAGGGTGGAGCCGCTGAGCACAGATCCGGAAACTTAGAGACAAAGTTCGGAGCCCCGCCCCCGCCGCGCGCAGCTCACTTGTCTGGCCCTGTCGACCCACGGCCCACCACCTACCGACCCACGAATCGGCCCGGCCCTCCGGTACACCATGTCTGGCTCCTCCAGCGTCGCCGCTATGAAGAAAGTGGTTCAACAGCTCCGGCTGGAGGCCGGGCTCAACCGCGTAAAAGTGAGCAGGGGCGGGCGGCCGGTGGGATCCCGCGGCCCAGCTGGCGGGACACGCGGCTGCGGCCCTCATTTCCTTGGAGGGGACGCGCTCTCGGCGGCGGCGATCCGGGAGCGGCCAGCTTTAGAGAAAGCGCCGCATGGGTCTACGCTGTGGTTTAGGGGGACAATTAGTCCGCCCTTCCGCCCCAGGACTTCACCAGGCGGGTTGGCCCCTTGGCTGAACCGTGGCCCGCATTCCGGTCCTCCTCCCTCTCTACCTCCCTTGGTCGCCTCCTCGTCTGGCCTCGCCAACAGCTGCGCCTCGGCGCGCGGTCCGCACCCTTCCTTTCCCGCTCTGCCAGCCTCCTGTTTCTCATCGGACAGGGTATTTTCCGACTTTTGATTCAGAGCAGACTTTTTCCCCCCATTTTACCTTTCCCACTCCTCCTTCCTTTAGTATTAAACTCTTACCTTCAGCTTCTCTTACCCATTTAACACATACTTTTAAGCGAATTATTGCATAACTTAAACTATGGATTAAAGCAGCATTTTTCGAAACGTTCCTGGAGTGTAAAGTTTTGGTCATTGCCCCGTACAACTTCGATCAAAGCGTGCATTTCATACTTATGGCACAGTTTGCTCGTATTTGACCTTGGGGATACCAATTCGTCGGCATGCCCAAGAAAGTGATTAGTGTGGGTAATTATTGGTCTTATTTTGGCGTCTGGTTAGTATTGGCCTTGTCTTGAGGTATTTACTTTGGGGGGGAAAGCCTTTTGTTGTGTTGATAGAACAACTTGACATTCAAGTGCTATTCTAAGTATTTCCTGATTATTACAGTCCTAAATAGATTGGCTTCTTTCTGGTACAATGGGTCAGGCTACATGTGAAACACTTCTGCAGTTAAAAAAAGAAAGAATGTAAATCATGTGCCCTGTTAAAAGCAGTCTGTTCCTAAGATGATTGGATTTTATACTCATTAGGCTAGTCTTTATTACTTCCTGAAACGTTTTGTGGATGAGAGAGGGTCTCTGGTCTCTAAGCTTTCTTAACTAGAAATGTCAAGGACCTAGCTTACTCAGTTGCGGTCAACTCAGAAGGGAAGGGAAATTCCCATTCGTCTTGGTGTAGGATCCCCTTCACTTCCAGTCCTTGAAGTGCTGTAGACCTAACTGCAGTTTGGAATCCATTTCTCTACTCTCCCAATTCTTACCTCATCCCAGTGCCAGTGGTTTCTAGTCAGTCTTGGCTGGATTTGGCTCTGAAATTTGAAATCATGCGTTTCTTAACAACCATTGTGTATCATTCAGGTGTGCCTTTATCATAAATAGGATGGACCAGGAGAGAAAAAAGTGGGGGCAGGGTAGTGAAAGCAGTGAATTGCACACACTTAGTCTCCAAAGAAAATTACATGAGGTTTTCAGACGAAAATATTCCAAGAGCTTTACCTGGAAAACCTTAGCTGCTGCCCCCCTAACCCCACAAAACTGATTCTATCTTAATCTTCACTAGGCTTCTTGTCGGGATCATTAAAGCCATCAGAAATGAGTTGGTTTGGGAGTTCTCAATTTCTGGCTGATGTTAAGGCTATAGCAAGGAGGGGAGGGCATCTCACTTTGGGATTTTTAAATGAGCTTTTCGTTAGACATGTTGCTAAATGTGGTTAGGTTCCATTTCTGTATCTGTTTTATCAGTGACTGGGCTAGCTGATTTTTGGTGATATTTTTAAACTATACAAGCTTATTTTTAACCTGTATGTTTGAGTGCGATTGACAGAACTTATCACAAGTGCTTGACAGACTGTCATAGGTATGTCTGGACATTTTTGAGAGTGAAAAGGGGACTAGTAATTAGGCCAGGATTGCAGGGTTTCAACCTCCTGGATGGTGATTGTTACAGTGCCTTGGGGGCTAGCAGCTTGTTCCAGTTTTAGAGTCTTTGTCTCAGCTTTCCTCACTGCTTGGAATGCTATTTCTCACTGATGGTTATTTGGCCAGATCTCTTGTCATTGAGTCTCAGGTTCAGTGTCACCTCAGACACCTTCCCTTAGGTGGCCACCCAGTCACCATCTAAAAGATTACTAATTTTACCACAGTGCACCTTGTCTGTCATTTTCTCTGAACTGTCAGCTCCATAACAACAGGGCTCTGGCTGTTCTTATGTATTCTCAGTACCTATATGTGGCACATAGTGGTGCTTGAAAAGTTGTGAAAAGGAGTTACATTGGATCCTGCCTACACTTTAAACAGAAAATTAATAGGTACTCTTTATGCTTCCTGTTAATATGAATGAAAACACTAAACATTGTTACAATATTTGGTGAAAAATGACACCGCTGTCGTCCTACTTTAGCTACACTTCTTTGGAAGGGAGGGGACAAGGGGGCCTATAGTCATTAGTAAAATGCTTTTACATAGGAACTAATAAACCTATGGAACTCACTACCCTGGACTGTTGTATAAGCCAAACACACAAATAGAGTCAAGAAGCATTTAGATTCATCTTAGTATGATGAATTATTTGATCAGGTCGGAGGTACAGCTGTAATCTTCAGGGTTTCTTGGTATAGAGAGCATTCGTGATGCTGTTAAGTCCCTAAGGCTACATATCCAGCTGGATGGACTGAACACCTTGCTCTCAGCATCCGTTATTCTCAGTTAAGACTGAGAATAAAATGCATGATTATATCTCCCACTTCTTAAATCTCAGTTCAAGACTTCAGATATTAGATGCATTTGGAGTGTTTTAGTCACTCATGTTCCACGTCTGAACGGTTCAGTTCATTGTTTTGTGTACCAACAGTATTTTAATGTTATTAAACTAGACAGTGACAGTTTTCTGCCCAGTGTCATGTGACTGAAAGGCTGATAGCAAACTTCAATTTGTTTTTCTAAGCAGGCTGCCTTTAAGAAACTATTGCCTTAAATCTGATTTAAGTGTGAATATACATATACAGAGCCACCCAAACAAGACTTAAGGAACTTATATGTCTTTATGGTTATTTTATTGATAGTCTACATTACCTTAGCAGAATATATACAAATAGTAGATGTTTAAGTGAATGATGCATGCCTCTTTTAATCTGTTTTAGTTTAAAGAGTACAAGGGTCTGACAAGTTTGAGGATCAGTATACTGAATGCATTCTTAGTGTTTGGTTTTCTAAATTACGTGCTAGTTATCCCACATTATGTTTATTCAAAGTAGCATTTTTCCAGTAATTCTGCTTTCAAGACAAAGTAATAGTTTTCTAGAATGTTATTGCTCTTTTTGTTCTGTAATGCTTTTAATAAAAACAAGATGTTAAGTACCCTCAGGTTTGCACTTGAACAGCCTATTATTAATAAGATGTGCTATGCTTTGCAAAAAGAAACGTAATTGTACTGTTCGTATGCAGTCATTTGATGCTTCCAGTAATCAAGCAAAAGAAAACATACTTCATATCAGTCTTATTTACAAGCATTAGTTTTAAGTATTAAGCGCTCACTAGGCCAGGTGCAGTGGCTCACACCTGTAATCTCAGCACTTTGGGAGGCCGAGGTGGATCACGAGGTTAAGAGATCGAGACCATCCTGACCAACATAGTGAAACCCCATCTCTATCAAAAATACGAAAATCGGGCGTGGTGGTGTGCACCTGTAGTCCCCACTACCCTGGAGGCTGAGGCAGGAGAATCATTTGAACTCAGGAGGCGGAGGTTGCAGTGAGCTGAGATCACACCATTGCACTCCAGCCTGATGACAGAGCAAGACTCCATCTCAAAAAAAAAAAAAAAAAAAAGGGCTCACTATATGACTTAAGTCTTCAATTATTAAATAGTATCTTCTTCTGAAGCAAGAGAAGTACTGTTTTATTCTAAGTACAGTATTTCCAGAGATTTGAGAAAACCTTCATTAAAATGTTCTCACCACCTGGCACTTTCCCGCTCTCTCTCTTCTATATAGGTTTCCCAGGCAGCTGCAGACTTGAAACAATTCTGTCTGCAGAATGCTCAACATGATCCTCTGCTGACTGGAGTATCTTCAAGTACAAATCCCTTCAGACCCCAGAAAGTCTGTTCCTTTTTGTAGTAAAATGAATCTTTAAAAGGTAAGTTTCCTTAAAAACAAAAGCCGACATTGTAGGAATAACTAGCCTTCTCTTTGCAGCACTTTAAAGGTCATCCTATGTACTTTCCTTTGACCCTCCATTTCCAGCATTTTTCTGTTTTGCAAAGTGATGATTCATGAAACTTGCTGAGTTAGTAGTCATGAAGGCTGTTTCTATTTTACCATAAAGACGGATAAATTGAAGATTTAATGGCGATAGGGTATAGGAGAGTTACTACAAAATGCCACGACTGTTAACAGGCCATGTGTCACTTTTTAGAGCATTGACCTAATGGCCTACGTATATTGGGAGTCACCAAGTACTAGTTTTGTTTTTATGTACCTGGCAAACATTTAGAGAGTTTTAAAAAAATCTGCAATGTTTTTGGGGGATGACTTAAAGTACTACCAACTGATCTAGATTAATTCTGATGTTATTGCTCTAACTGAACCCAGCTGTAGAACAGAATAGCAAAGATTGGGAATTGGAAATACAAGAGAAAATCAGATGTAATTGAAAAAGCCAGGGTGGTTCAGGCATTTGGACTGAGGTAGAACAGCCTTTATGTTTTGTTCTCATTTGTTGGATTAAAGATAAAACATAAAGGAAATGCAGTATATGAGTTTTTGGTGGCAGACAGACAATGGACTGAAT